AGCTCTGTCTGACGCGTCTGCCTCCGCAGCCCGAAAGGAGAAGTGGCGATGGAAGATGAAGATGAAGATCCAAGAAAAGCATGAACAGGATGGGATGCGTAAGAAAACGGCCTGACAGACTTTCTGTGCTTAGATCAGTAGGTTTTGTTAATATTATCTTATATATAATAGCAGGTTCATGTCCGATATAAAGAATTGACCCTAATTGTAAATTGTCAATTTACCGCTTGACAGCAACTGCCAGAAATGCTCTATTTTAGAGTAGAAAAATAAAGAAAAGACTCAACGTTACCTGCAGTCTCTTATCGAATAGATTGCAATGACAATGAAAGAGGCTTAAGCAACAGGCAAATAAATTGACAATCAATGGTTGAGTTACTGCACAACGTTTCCAAGGTAGAACAACCGATTTTCAGTTATGTTCACTAACTTTGCAAAGGAAATCATTGACTTTAACTAATACCAAATTGCTTGGTAAATCACTCAAAATTTTTTAATCGAGAATCGACGAGGCAAAGCAACAGTCATTTGAAATGTTTGAGTGAAACACGTTGAGTTTTTAACTTTGAATTATACTTAAAACGGCCGGAAAAATTCTTGCATTTTGAAGAATGCTCGTTGAAAGTATATATGCTCTTCATCGCATAGTCGTTTCCTCTATTCATAGCATAGTGAGCCGTAGTACAATCGGCAATAGGTTATTCAGCAAATTTCCCCTATTATTTCACAGATAACTGACACCTAACTTTGTTCCATTGCGCAATGCGAAGCACTGACGCATCAGAAAGAATGATACCTTGCCGAGAAAAAACTGTAGTTTGTCTAGTTAATATAATTAACTTAAAATGAAGCAGAAATTAACTAACTGTAGAACTCAAGCCTTTCATAGCTGTGTTATTTTAAGGACAAATTCCTACTTTTAGCCATAAATCGGCTGTGTGCAAATCAGAAACAGTGTTCCAGAAATGGGTGCGTTACGGAAGAAAGCAAATTTTTTAGATTCATCGACGCGTGGCCAAATGAACATTATCATTCTATGTTGAAAGCAAATGAGAACCAGTTATAAATGCGTAGTTTACAAAATTTTGCAGAGTAATCTCATTTGTCTAATTCATATTTAATGAACTACTGGAATTGATCAAACACCAATTTGTTCAGCCCATTTAATTTTATTATATAAGGTAAGATGAAAGCTGAGGCTGTTTTTCTCACTTATTGTATACCTGGCTGCAACCTCGTGTAATGTAAAGAAAGGAAAATCTAAAATCGGAAAAGTGACATGTCATTTCTTTCGTCGTAGCATAAGGTAAATAGTTCATTTTAATGCGGCCTGAAACAGCTCTAAGTTGACTAAAACAGACTTTTAACTTTTTTTGACTATCAACCATGGAATACAAAGATTTATTTGTTTTGTGTTCTTCATGGAAATCTCAAATTTTTCCATTAAGAGAAAGAAAGGTACGTAGAAGTTATATCGTCGGACGTCAGTGACGAAGAAGAATAATGCGAAGAAACGATGGGCGCTCGGCAGTGCTTTAACTTTGTTAGGTTGTTGATCGTACATAATCTAATCATAGATTCGCTAATATTTTATTGGGTGGAAGTTTGTCGCTGATTGCGTTTTAGAAATAAATTTTATTCAATGAGTGATGGAAATGGGTTAGATGGTGCACATATTTGTTCCTGCATTTTCTTTCAACAGTAAACTTCGTACTGTTCCTATTCCACAGGATTGACTAAGCGAGTAAGGGGCTCGTATATACTTTTTTGCAGTTATATGCCTTTGCACAGGCGAATCGGTTAAATTTTTTCACAGCTTATCTTTTATTTCTTGTATAAAATCTTCGTTTTCATTGATGACATCGACAGCGTTTTGCATGGCGTACTGCAGTACATTTTAACTGATTTGGCGTTTTAGATAGTGGGTCATTCTGTGCACTTTTTGAAAAACCATTAAGGCATGAAAAGCCTATTTTTGACACGAGGAAACCATGATATTTTACTTAGTTTTTAAGATTCAAGGGCTAATATTTCATTATTAGATCTTTATCGTGCAGCAGTCGATGAGCCGCACAACGTGCTTTGTATGATGTATATTCATTCTTCTGATTTTGAAGCATTCATTTGAGGTGAAACAAGCCGTTCTACGTTGTTCTTTGCATCGCGATACTCATTCATATAATCCAGAGTCGTGGTAGATACAGCCAGGTCGTTGATGAGTGTGATGCAAGTTATGGGCTCTCTGCCCAAGTTAAGATGCAGAATTGAAACGAGTGAATTCTTCCACACCATACGAAGGTTGTTTTCCATGTTCCTAGTGAGGTGGTTGCGAAAACAACATACTATGATCGTGCGGAAAAATATTCATTTAGCCATATGGGAACGTTTCTTTCTACTGGCACTGCCTCTAATAATTTGAGCAGTCTATCCGGTAGTATCGTGGTATTGAATGCTAATGGGAGGTCGAGAAGTACTGTCCCCATTTTACTCTTTCACTGAAACTTGCTAGTGCATGGACGGTGCTTCGCTGCTAACTATATGTCAATTACTAGGTCCATAATTTGGGATCGTTCTCGTTGCTGCAGAACCATATGAATCAGTTGTTTCATAATTCATAACTTTCAGGTGTGGAATTGCGAGATTATTGGTTAAACCATGTTAGACCAATACAGACGTTTTTTGTCGTATTCGTATCTTAAGGTCCTTCGTCAAGATGAAGTGGTGGTCTTTGTCTAGTCATTACGTCATCAGCTACAAATGACAGTACCATAAGACATACTTTGAAGAATATCCTTGACATACGGGCCTTAGCGCCCGTACTGGTACATACCAATTGTTTACATTATGCATATTTTATTATGGCTACAAACAACAGCAGAATATCGGTTCTGCCGAATGAATATGTTTCTATTATATTTTAATAATTAATTATTTGTCCTCTTCTTTTTACTGCAGCATGGTTAAGTATATGTCAGGGGCGTAGTATTAATTCTTTAGCGTCAATACCTTAGCAGATTTCCATGATATCTCGCTTATTGCCAAGTCAGATTTATAGATATAGTTTTTTTATGGTTGATCTATTTGTACCTCGTAGAACTGTCTTAATCAATATGCCAAATGCGGCAGTTGTGTTCGTACGTTTATTATGGTTTCGCTTATATGCATATTTATTTGTTAAATAATTCACACATGTTTCTTATATTTGTTGTGAGGAGCAAGATTTTTTACAGTGCTTTTCTAGCATTGTCTTTTCAGCTTTCTGTATGCATATTACTGACTTATTATTTCTCTTCAAATGGGTAGTGGCCAGTTTGACTAAAACTATAAAACAGCTGCTGTGATAATAGCAGCTTTTCTCTCGAGTTGTTTTGCATTCTCTTTTTATGGTATAATCATAGTGTTCGTATCCTTCGTGCTTTGTTTGTTGGATAATTGTTGTTTGACTGCTTTCGAATAGGATTTTATTCAACATGTTTGTTCTTTTATCTTTTGTGCAATTAATTATTTTAATTTAGCTAAGTTCGGGCCGTGAATTCGTTATTGACAGTGAGGGAGGCTGAATTCGATTGTTAGAATTCTGGTTTCGTAGCTTTACGAATATGGTCTTGGAAAGCACTATCGTGTGGTAAGTAAGAACTGCAGGTCACAAAATGAAGCCTTTACTCAGTGCTAGCTTCTCGATAATGTTTCTGAAGGTCCTGCTGAAACTTTTTAACCAGAGTCAGGGTCCTGGCCATTAATTTGGTCTGGATTTTGTTAAAATATGCTATGATTCCACATTTTTGATTCTGGACCCGTTGCTGAAACCTGAATAAGATGAGTTTTGTATGGTTCAGGGCGCCAGACTAAGCTGATATCAAAGATTTGATAGCTGGCTGATTCCGTTGTCGGACGGTAGCATCGTCGAATCTGAGCACAAGTGACATGACCGGCACCATGCCTCAGCTTGTTGCTACCCGCCGTATC